GGTTGTGATAGTGAGGGATTCCATGATGGATATAGCATAGATGAATGGACACAAGGACAGAAGGGAAACTATCACAACAAATCAGCAGACAGTTGCTCAGGGAATAGGCTTTACTTGCCTCTTTGGCAAATTTAGTTAGATGTCACTAAAGGCAATGATCGCTGAGGATGCGGATTATAAAGCTGGAGAAACGTCTTAGAATTTACCAAGTCAACGGTTCAATGCTGGAGATTATGATGAATATTATGCCAGAGGACTCCAGACAAAGTATGTTTATCTAGGTAGCCTTGCAATATGGCCAAATTTAAAAAACGAATTCAAACAACTTTTAAAAATCCTTTCCACTCCATTATATTTATTGCAATTAGTATGCTATGATATCTTGCATAATTAATATTAGCTGAACGGTAGAATTTCTAATCTAAACTTTTGGAACAAATTTTACCACCTTAAGTAATTCCGCAGTTTTGTCTAACTCTTCTTGACTTTGATCGTTGCTCTCGTCAATCTGGCTAGCATCTATGTTTTCTTTTTCAACTGCTTGAAACAAAATGTTTCCCATATGAAGGAGAGCAGCCAGAAGGCGCCAGACTAGAGAAATCTCGTCATCTGTAAAGAATAGACTCTGCATAGCTGTAAGTAAATCAGAATATTTGGTAGCATCATCTCGGCCCTCCACCTGGATGAATTGGCCCTGTAGAACACATTAGGAAGGCAAAGGAAAGATGCATCAGGATGCCGCTTAAAGTTTAGATTTATAAAAATTTATGAAATATCAAATAGTTGTGGCACTGTTAACTCATAAACATTACATATCCATTCCATTTTCCATGGAAGAATGACTTACAAGTGAGCTTGGCTGATATAGGAGTTTATTCCCTAGTCTGATCGTAAAAAGAGTCTAAAACTATGTTCACTTAATTTCTATTACGTATCCATAAGTAATGTTGAATTATCAATCCATAATCAACGTTCTCAATATAAATGCCTGATCTAGTGGTTTTCGAGGAAACGAACACTAGCGAAATATTTTACATTATTTAACTTAATCAAATCCCAGTAAAGAAGGTAAATATTTAAAATGTCACTGGAATCGCTATAAAGTGATACGTAACTTATTAAAAATTCCTTAACTAAGTGAAGAAAAATACAATAAACTAGCTTACTCGGCTTTATTAAATGTCTATTCTTGTATCCAATCTAGCTCCCATAAATGAAGTAGGCATGTTTACGATTAAATTTGCATGACTATCATTTAGAAGGTTCTATATCATCGGTGATTTGCGTAAAATTTGGATAGGCCAAGAAGTATTTCCGAGTTTTCTTGCCATAATGTAACTTGAATAATTAAGTTAATCAGTACAAGGTTATGTTTTTAAAAATACAAATTTCAGAACAATTAAGCTTTGAAATCAATATCAGTAAGGATTGTCAAAATAACCTTCTTTCTTTATTGATATACACAGAATAGAGTATTGAGTAGGTTCCGAACCTGCCAGTAGAGCTTGTA